TTTATGAAAGGGCATAGCGGCTTGCGTAAACTGTTCGACGTGCCAAGATCGCCCACCCTCCGCCTCGACAGCACCTACACACTACTAACACTGGATAAACACATTTTGAAATATTGAAAGGTTTTTATTACTATATATATCAAAATAAAATCAAATTATTCCCAAAGAGGGTTGATGTCAGGCAGGCGACTGGTCGTAAAAAACAATTAGCCAAAACTATTTACAACATGTAAGGCAAACCCTGGCTAAAGCTGGGAAATTGCCAGGCTGAGGAGGATATATCAAAATAAAGAATTGCATTAAAATTTGGGTCTTTTCACATAGCAATAAACATGGTTCAGTATACTCATTGGATATACGAGTATGTAGGATCAGATTGATAGTACGGTTCCACGAAAGTAACCCCGAAAAGATACAAATTGTATCAAAATCAAACCTTTCTAGACCGAAACAACCTAAATCCTCACACACTAAATTAAATGGAAATCGTTGGAACACTTTCCGAAATTGTATCTACTATATAGCGTTCCAGAAAATGAAATGAAATTGTTCAAAGAATTGAGTATCTATTACAAATATTTAAACAGTTATTTTTTCTAACTTCTTTTGAAACAGTTACACTTAACCCTATGTACTTTAATAATATATAATTAAATGAGTATAAATAAAACGGATTAAGTTCTTTTCAAATAAGATTATCTCAGTAGCCGGTTAATAAAATATATGTATAAGGTATGTAGGTTATTTTTCCTTACTAACTCACTAAGCCATGGAAGTGAAGAGTTATTTAATTATATACAAAAATAATATTTATTATTTTTAATTAACTAAGTTATAGTTTTGTTCTGTCGGTTGTATTGAACTGACAATCTTGTAACCGCAGAGTAACATGTATCGAAGGTTACCGTCTGGTTATTGGTTAATTTATTTTGTTTAACAATAAAATAAATTCTATTAAATCTACGAATTAAAAATGATCATTTAAAGATAGTTAAATTTCATAGTTATTTATGTTTCTTCATAAATTTTATTTAATGTACAATTATACATATTTTTTAATTAATTTTTCAATTATCTTGTGTCAATATAGTTGTTACTTCTGTAAATTTACTTTGCAGAATGCAACAACGAAACAGCGAAATCGCATCAATCCGTTTTAGTTAGAACCGTTAATTATGCAAATAAGATTTCAAATTATAATAAAATGCACATTAAAACTGTATCATAAAGACATGGAACATATCCTAACTGAATCCTAAAGCAATATTCTACATATATATATTTTATATATTATTGTTATCACTATTAAACAGATGCTTAAGTTATTTAAGCGTGTTTGTGGGTGTATTTTCAAAGCGGTCTACATTCCACTACTGTTTGCTCGTCTCGTCTAGCGGGCTTAAAATAATTACACAAGTGTACTGCAGTCAACCCTCTAGAGTTCGTTGTTCCTTCCCCTTCACTTACCTGCTTGTTTTTAGATTCAGAGTAAAAATTACACTTTGTAAGCTTTTTGGGTATTGGTAATGTGGGTTATGAACACTTTCACTCTTACAAAAGTGCTTTGAATCAAAAGTAAAGTTTTAGACAGATAAACTTATACTTATTTTTTAATATTTATTTTGTTTACAAATATATAATGTTATAATATTTTTTGAATGTGTTTATTTAATACTTATATTTGATGGAAATCCATTAACTCCGTTATTATTTCATTTTATTTGACAAATCTAAGAATATAGTCATTTAGTAGGTTAATTTAAAAGTTAATATCAAATAATATAATTATCTATAAAAAGGTATCGCTGTTACGTATGTTATAGATGTAATAATATTATTAGCTCATATTTAAAACCGTCAAGTAAATAAACGTAAGTGTAAGCGAGACACGTGCGCCTGCGCATCGCGGGGTTCGTAAAGTATAGTGTACTTCAGTTTGTCACTGCCCATCAATGGAGACAGTCACGCGGCTTGTATACATTTTTAGTTTATCGCAGTAACGACCTAGTTTACAAAATCGTTCGCAGTGAAACATGTTTCATAGTTTTTTTTCAGTGCCGTGTTTGTGTGCTAATAATCTTTATTTCGATCACCGGTTCATTATTTTATAGCTATAGTCGTGATGTCAGTGCGTTTCACTAAAAATCGCTTCTTGGACTAATGTTTGTGATGATCACAATAACGTAAGCATTTTCCATAAATAAATGCTCGTTTGGAGGAAACATATCTAGGTACCCTATTTATATGATGACATTTTAATGACATCTTTTACATGAATCAAATCCTTTATAATCGCGACGACGCATAAATATATTATATAAAAGACATTAGATAAATTAGTCTTTAATTATTTTATATTAACTCGTGGTTACCATCGTTTTGTCAGTTTAAGAACAATAGATATATCAAGTACTCGGTAACTGTACACCACAACTCAAGTGTCACATTTAATTACTGTTTTAATGATACTTGATAAATGAATCTCATCGTCGATCTTAATTATGGCAACTCCAATTTTAGTGCGGATAGATGAAGTATTTTTGCCTATGTATAAGAACAAGCTACAATAGTGTATACGAATGTATTTAGTGATTCGTGTTCGCCGACAATCCATCACTATATCCAGTTAAACTTGTCTAATGAGTGTAATAACTCGATTCATCAGGCTAGTCCTCATGCTCTACAAGACCCAATGGTCATATCCGTTGCAAATCGTCGGTTTCCTCCGAAGACGTTCTACTCGCTTTTATAAACTTGATTTATATACCTGCCACGTCATTAATTTATGTCAACGGCTGTCACAAGCGGATGCGTTTATTCGCCTCGACAACCTATTGACCGTCTTTGCTGCTTGATGCTTCATACAGAACTCTTCAAGCTTAACCCTCGGTTTCACAACAGCTCTTTTGTATACATTGTTTCTATCCTTCGTATACATACATGACGTAAGGCTCAACTTTGAGAAGTATTTTCTAAAATTATCTTTTCACTGATCAGTTATTTTTATTGTTTATTTTTTCTTATATGTCTTTATAACCAGCAATTCTACTGTAGATTCATTTAAATATATTTTTCTGTTAAATACGTGACCTACTTACGAATTAAACATGCGTTAGCAAATCAATATGTTTTATCAAGATTTCGTGGCAAGGTCGTTAGATATTAATGTAAAGTACAATACAAATGATGTTATTTAGTTCTCGCGTGCCTATAATTCTTTGGGCAAATCGTAGTTTCATGGTCCGAGTGGAAGGAGCCTTGGCTTATCTTGGGAAACATCGGTCTCGTGTCGGAAACTTTTGGCGATTTGCCAGACCTGGGCTCATATGTTACTATTACTGTACGGCGACAGCATACTGCTAGCTTCTGTATAACCCACAATGAAGGAAATTAACATCTTCATTATTGTTTGAAACATTAAGCAGTAAACATTAATTGATCGGATTCTGTTTAAAAACCTCTTGAATGATTTGTGAGATTTGTATCTTTATTTTTTGCTACTGAAATCTTTTGTCGAAATAAATTTGGAGACGACAACAGTGTAATATTTCCATTATCAGACAGTTTTCTAAAAATGTTTGTGTACTGAGAGTAAATTGTTACAGCTTCCGCAATTTTCTCCCAAAGAACTAAGACGGCTTCCCACACTTAACTTTCCATAACACAATAGCTTGTGCAAGGTTTCACTTTTTTGTCAACGAATGTAGTAAGCAAAATCATAAAACTTAAAAACATATTACATACAATAGATTCTCATCCTAGAAAATATTTTACATGAATTTTACTAGCTGTAGTTCATTGTTTTGAATGAATAAATAAATATATATATTTTCCCGACAATATTGATTGATTTTCGAATGACCCTTAAAATATTATTATTCACTTTTCTATCACATACTTTGTACATTTTGATCTACCTCTTGTTTAATTCAAATAACTTTTGTCTAACAAAAAATGTTATTTTGAAATCATATCAACATGCAAATAGCAAACGTACTGGTTTATATGTGTACATATAATATTTTTCTATTCAAATCATTAAAATCGTAAGTTTAAAATTCAGCTAAAAATTAAATATAATCAAGATGTAAAACAATTTGAAATACTTTTCAAGGTTATTGATTAAGATCGCGTCGCATGATTAGGTTACGAATTTTACAAAGAATGAAAACTATTGAGATCAAGGTTTAAACGTTGAAATAAACACAGTAATCATATTTAAGCTATTAGTAAATTTTTATTAAAAATTTAACTACATTAACATCATTAATTTCATTAATTTACTCATATTCAAAAGTACGTAATTATGTAATCAATCGAAACTACCAAATAGTCCGGTTTTTATTTCGACATATGAGAGAGCGTGATTTAAGTCGCATGGCGCATACGCAGCAACTAACAGGTACATACAAACATGTACCCGCTTTACAAAGATGTTGCCTTTTGTTCGAGTGCCATTCATTAGTCGAATGTCACATTGGTAGACCCCATTCTTCGGGAGTGCGTTGAACCGACGCTGTCATATCTCCAGCCGTCATATATGGTTCTGTGCTAACGTGTTTTACGAGTTGTTCAGTCGCTTTTTTTATTTGTCCAGAAATCTTGCAATTTAATTACTTTCTTCCCACATAGAACAGGTATCTTAGCTTATTTATAAAGATCCAACGTCGTCCATATAAATCTGTTACCGTTTATATTTTGTTATATTAAAAACATATAGTTTTATTTATTGCCGACGATGCAAGCTATAATCGCATATCTTTTATAGGTCCTCAGTGATATGTTATCGCGAAATTAATTAATGCTCGTCACGTCTGCTGTGATAAAATACAACTAATACGAGGAACTCAAACGTGAGTAACGTAAGACAAAGTGCGAGTTCGAGTGAAAAAAAGAAATTTGAAATATGAAATCTGTGCATAATCTTATGTGTGAATAGAACGAGTGTTTGTATAACGTGTTCTGGTGTTAATAAAAAGTGTATTGGGATATGTGTGAGGATGAGCACCGAGCGGCGTTTATCACGGAGTTTCCACTCGTGTCTGAAGGGATCCTCGACGGAGGAGGCTGCGGAGGACGAGGAGAGCTGCTACCACTCACTCGGTGGCCGACACACACTCAATAGACAACCTCAGGTGTACGTTGAGGACCTGTCCAACATCACTCTCGCCGATTTCGAAGCATCGCAAGATGATATCGATGGTTCGTATTTATTTTTGCACTCTCAACAATTGCTCGTATATTTATAATTTACGTATAAATAAAATTTGTATAAAATAAACATAAAACCGTCATCGAATTTTTTATAGCATACATTGTTTAAAAGAAACAACTTTAAGTTTTCATCGAGACTGTAAACGCAATTTTAAATAATAGTAAGAATCACTAAGTTGTACCGAAAAGTATATCGAAAATTGCTACTTTGAATTTGATTTTAACTAGGCTGAAGGACTACTAAAGATATAAACAATTTTATTCTTATTTTTCCTAATTTAAATACCTACTTAAGTTTAAACTGTAATCATGAATCATTACAGTAAATTAATAAATTAAACTTAATTGTCATAATTCCATGTGATTCATAAACATTGTTAGCATGTAGATATCAAGATTTCAATGTGCGTGTCTTTAATTGGGCAATTTCTCTAAGATACATAAATCGAATGTATTATATACATAAACATTTACAAAATGATTTAGTTATCTTTTAGTAAGACACTTACAATTTGATAAACAAAACAAACTGTTCATTTCACGAACATTGGAAGCCTAAAATACCTTTAAGTATTAACCACTTTTTAAATTTTTAATCCCTACTTAATATTATAAATGCGAAAATAACTCTGCCTGTCTGTCTGTCTGTTACGCTTTCACGCCTAAACCACTGAACCGATTTTAATGAAATTTGGTACAGAGATAGAGTTGACCTTGAGAAAGAACATAGGATAGCTTTATCTATATTAGACAAATGTATGGTACCCATAGTACATAATATTCATACCTGAATAGTTTTATCAGTAAAATAATCGTGTAGGTTTTAATAAGATTTTCTTACGTAATATTAGTATGTATAGAGATGTATTATTGTAACTATGAACCAAGCCAAGGTTGTTCTAAAACTGGTCTAGTACGTCGCAGGAATTGTATGAACGTATAAGGAATTGTTTTTCATGTATTACTATTATGTAGCTTTGAAGCTGATCTTTAGAAAAACTTGTACGTGTTTCGAAAGATACTACAAAACCAAACTATATATATTTCTCCTTTATAATGCTGTGATAATACGATTTAATTTGTTCTGTTTGTAGATATATGATAGATGATAGATTTTGAGAACTTTACCTGACGCCTGACGGTTACTGAATTATAAAAAAAAAACAATAATATTGTTTCTTTGTAATATTTAAAGCATTAAAACAAATAAGTTAGATTTAACAGCTTTCAGTCCACAATTTTTTAAACTATAATTTAAATAATTATTAAACTATACTCTTTCAATGTAAATTCTCCTTATTCCGACGTTAGTTTAGCTCAAAGATTTATTTTTTAAAAGAAAATTTTCTGTTATTATTTAAACCATTTATGTGTTCAAATCAAAGTTCACGTAACGAAATATTATTCTGTTATTCCTAACTTTAACAGTTATTCATTCTCAAAACATCGAGGATATTTACTTAAAAGATTTGAAATATTAAGACCCATATAATGTAAATGTACTCTAGATTTGAAGAAAAATTGAAGTGTTCGCTCGTCTTATATATCTTGTATAATAATTTTCACAATCCCCTATAGCTTTAAGAACAAGCTAACATTTTGCTTCACGATAATCCAATTCGATCTTGACATTGATTAAACACGTAACAAAGTGACAGTGAGTCATATACAGCCGGATACTTTATAACAACTCCGATTAGACAAAAAAATGAGATTTTAAGAATAAAACTTAGACGATTATCAATTACCATCACAAAATACTATTATTGTGTGTGGTTTCAGTACAATCAATAATCTTCCAATAGTATTTATAAACCATCCAAATGTTAATATTCTAACTAACAAACCAACGTCGTGTTGAGTTAGGTTAAGGCGTCTGATTATTTTTTAATGTGCCGCCGCATTAGTCGCTTCCAAGTTAAAAATAATTATGACCATATATTCACATCACGTATTTTTTTAAGTTGATTGTTTACCCCCAAGCACTGGTTTAGATATTCAGCCAATGTCCCAGCTTGCGCACCTGTGTTGGCGACCGCTGGCTCATATCCGCTTCCCGTTTGATTGTTACCACCCTTTTCGGTTCCAGTCAATGCTTCCGTTCCGCATTCTGATAAAATACAAATTCAAGCCAAGGTTGAATCTATATAATAATTGTCATTAACTCCCCCTACTCGAGTATTGTCTTAGTAATTGTTTTTTTATCTCTATGTTCTATACTTTTAAACTTTATATAGCAAGTTTTTATGGAGGGTAGTACAAGGTTTTCTAAGCAGCATCCCAAACGGCCGGATGTCGAACAGTTTAGAGTGGCATATTGTACTTTACCTATTGTTAGCGGGGTGAATGGAATTTCGAGAGCCAGGAAACATCTTATGTGGTGATTTTTTGATCAAACAACATCGATAACGCCATAAACGATTATATGTTAGATAAAAGCATTCCCGAATTTTCAAGCATATTATTATAAATTACATAGCTTTTCGTATGCTCAGAATTGTTTTTCCATAATTATTTATGATAATAAAAAGCACCCTATGTTACTTTTCTTTATATTGGCTATCTCGCCGAGAAATTTGCGACAAAATAAGTTCAGCCGTTTCAGAGATTAGCGGAAACAAACGAAGAGACAATTCATTTTTTTTTATTTTCTTATTGTATGTGTACCATATATATGTACATGTACAGATACATTCTAAATCATCAAACGTATAAATTTTAATATTACAAACAATAATACAATTTTATACATAATCAATATCTTTTATAATAATAATACCAACATAATATTCTAAAAGAAGTTTTATATAAAGTTTCCTCAAGTGTACAATATGATATAAGATTTGTTCTCACATGAGATCATCATTGACCTCACCGTTCTCAACAATTAGCTACTTAGTATCAATTAATAAATTTAACATTAGATCCGCATATAGTCATATGAAATGTTACTTGACCAGTCGAAAAGAATTAACATATATCATATCTTACTGTGATTAAATGTGGTGAATTGAAACTGACTGTATACTTATTTTTTCTATTTCTTTATAATTTTAGTAAATTCTTACTATTACTACAAACTACAAAGTGTTATTTTGCGCATTTATTCGTTTTTTTTTCATATTAAGCACGGACAGTAATTGATCGAAACTTTTTATCGTATTAAATTTATTTAATAAAAAGTCTACGCGATATATAAGATATTTTTATATTGAGCGACTTGAAATACTTGTCAAAATAAAGTAATAAACACCAATTAATTTTAATTATTCAATATAAAATATTCAATATTAATTTACAGTTTAAATTACGATATTGAAAATATTTAATTATAAAATTATATAAAAATTCTAAATAGATGGTTGAAAAATAAAATATTTTTTAATTTTGTTTCTATAAATCGCGAAAGATTCCTTGCGTAAAGTCACGATCTGAACTTTCTCAATACAATGGTTAATGGATTTAGACGTCTTTATAAAATTAAGTTTATTTTTATTAAATAATATTTTTATGATAAATAAATACCTACATCATCAAACCTTACTTACGTTTTTAGATACACATATATATGTGTTATTTATCTTAATTTTACAATCGCGAGAGCTTGAATTGGATGATGTTAAATTTGAATTATCCCGTACGTTGCACTCTTGAAAGTCTATTTATATGAATAAAACTGACACGTTGTTGGCAATCATCGCTGTCGTAAGACGACTTTGCCATTCATATTTTTTAAACTAGAAAGAAAAATATCGTATGCGTAATATTATGATTATCAAAACCAGCTAGCGTAGACCTCTCATCATTTGATTAGTTAATCATATTAAATAATATATGCAAATGTGTTAATGGTCGTTGTATATCTTCATACAAAAAACATGTTTAAGTAATCCCTACTAATATTATAAATGCGAAAGTAACTCTGTCTGTCTGTCTGTCTGTCTGTCTGTCTGTCTGTCTGTTACGCTTTCACGCCTAAACCACTGAACTGATTTTAATGAAATTTGGTACAGAGATAGAGTTGACCTTGAGAAAGAACATAGGATAGTTTTTATCCCAGATTTTTGAAAGGTTCTCTTGGAAACGCGATATAACCGAACTCCACGCGGGCGAAGCTGCGGGCGGAAAGCTAGTAAAGCATAAAGGAACCGGAAAGTAAACTAGTATAGGCCGTGTTATCGTTAGTGAAATGTGTGTCGTATACAGGAAACGATAGTACATGTTCCAATGTTACATTTTTAATATTCGAAATAGTTTTATATGGATGGTTCAGATTATATTTTTATTACAGTGTGTTACTACTAGATTTTTTTATTTAGGAAATCGTCAGCGAAAACTTTGTTTGAAAAGTGCGCCCTCTATTACATATAAAGGGAATTTGTTGTTCTAGTGGTTCTACTACTCGATGCTAGAGGTCGCTTACAAGAATTCTGATTTTAAATGTAATAATGTGCACAGACGGTATATTTTAAGGTGTTTTTCTATGTTTAAAGTTTATTGTGACTGAATAAGTAAATTATCTTTTTATAAAAAAATATATATGACTATAATACATTGAATACATCAGTTAATGTTTTGACTTAGTTTCTTTGGATTATATGTTAGTACATACTATTATACATAAATATTTTGTAACATACAGTAATATTCTGAAACATTATTAAATATTACGAAAACAGGCCAATAACACGATCCCTTGTACTTAAAGTTCAGAACAATACCAGGACCAGTTTAGTAAGTTCACGACCGATCGTGATGTCGAGCCTTTGTGGTGATTTATTTTTTCATATCACCATTCAATAATAATTCTTCTACGATAGACAGAAGGTTGGAATTCAACTGATCATATTTCACGGCTATAGGCTAGGAAGATTGGAGCTGGCCTCGATTGTTGTAACAAAATATGTTGGTACTATTAAGATAAAAAAAAAAATTGACCATTACTACCAACGTAATTAGTTAATACAAGTTTAATAAAATTACAAAGT